AAAAACACATGTGTTGCATCTAAGATGTCTCGATTTTCTTAAATAAATCAATTTCTGCCTTCTTTTGGCTTCAAAACAGGCAATTGAAAATATAAAAGTCATTTTTTCGCGTTGTTTACTTTTGACCAAAAAAAGTCAGCTGTTTGAACAATTCCGATAACGAAACGATGACAAAAAGTTTGTGAAAACCGGAGCACCAAAAACGAAAACGTACGTTTTCGCCCAAAAACGAAAACGAGAAAAAAAGTGAAAACCGGAGCCTGCCTGTATAATTAAAGATCTAAGCTATTCTATCTCTCAAGTCGGACCAGACTGCTCACGGTGTGCCAATTTAATTTAAAATCGGTTAAGTAGTTTAGGAGTCTATCGCGGACAAACATCGTGACAGGAGATTTATATATGTACAGTATAATTCGCTTAAGGGGGGGGTAAGGTTTTAAAGGCCAAAAAAAGGTCCATGTTTGACTTTTTTTTTGCGGCGATATGAGTAAGTTTATTTTATTGAGCTTAATTACATGTTATTGTTTAACTTTTGAAGAGTATTAGAAAAAAAAATTATTAAAAAATATTAAGAAATAAGCCTGTGGCGGTTAATCTTCCGAAGCGCCTGAAGAAAAAGTTGTTTTGCGGTGAACATCATAGGGCGTTAACGGATCATCTTAAAAATAAAATGTGATATGCGTTGTAAAGATAATGAATTTCCCAAGGTAATCAGGAAGAGTTTTTTTTAAATTTATTTTTTGTCTATTTTTGGGAGCACTTGAAAGTGAAAAGTGCGATTTTAGCTTTAAAAATCGCTGTTAATTTATTTTTTAAAAATAGAAAAAAATTAAAAATTAAAAAAAGCTCTTCCTGATTACCTGCGTATTTATATTGAGAATTTGTGTTAAAAATTTGAAAAGGATCGGTTCAGTAGATTTTGAGTTCTGATGTTCACCGACTTTTAAAATAACGTCTTCGGCAAAATCGATTAAAAGTATTTTTATACGTGGAAATACGTCCAAATACGGTTGTTTAAAACGCTGTAACTTCGTTAGTTTGACTTTAATTGACTTAAAATTTTTACACAATGTTCTCGACATATTGGTCATTCAGAAAAAAAATAAAAAAATAAATCGAAAAAAAAATTTTTTTAAAACCTTACCCCCCCTTAACTGCCTCGATGCTTAGCTGCATCGTCAAGATAACTGCCTTATTTCTATTTTTTCTGCATTTATGGTCTCATTTGTATGAAATTAATTACGTTTGCTGCATTCAAGTTAGCTGCCTTTCGCACTTAAGTGCCTCGTTTCGGCAGAATTTAACTGTCTTATTCTATGAATATCATCCAACTTAACTGCGCCATCTAGGATTCGAATTTGGAAACAACAAATTTATGAGTTTTAATCATGTATCTTTTTTTGTGCATATGGCAACGCTTGCATCTCTTTGCGCATGTCCGTTTTTCGTTTGTTTTGATCGTGCCATTTGTGTGCATAAATCATTCCTAATCGTAAAAATGGGTAAAGTGAAGCGCTTGGTTGGCTTAACTTTAAAATAAAAGCTCCAAATTATTACGGCTGTCAGCGAAAAAATTGATAAAAGTGTTCTCTGCACGAAATACAAGTGTGACAGATCAACAATAAACCGTATAATTAAAAATCAAGACGAAATTCAAAATTTAAAAATTACGTTAGCTGCCTTTTTAAGATAGCTGCCTCCAAAATCACTGCAATCGACTCGATGCAGTTAAGCGAATTATACTGTATATATATAAGATTGTTTTACGCGCTCAGTACTGTCTCTGATACTCCGCTGGTGTTTTCCTCTTCCTCGATTGAAGCTTACATCTTCAATTTTTCCTTATTCCGTTCTGCTTTCTTTCGTCATCAAGATTATCAAGATATCAAGATTATTTTTTTCACAAGGTGAATCTAAAACGTACCATACATAACCTTATGCGTGTTTTCAATGTCAATATTTATTGCTTGTTTAAATTACTATGAAAAAATACATACTTCGAATAGAACGTAAATATTATGTAGAACACGAATTATTTATGGGAAATTATTGAAGTGTTACGAAACAAGAATAAAACAAGAAAAAAAGCTATTAATTTTCCATATTTTCGACTATTGTTCATATGGCAACTATGTAAATACTATATTGTGTATATCATGATTTTGATCAAATTTAATTCCAAATTCAATAATCGTTAGAAAACTCTATATTCCAAAAATCTTGCTTGTTATACCCTTGCAGAGCAAAAGGGTATTATAATTTCAGTTAGAAGTTTGCAACGCAGTGAAGGAGACACCTCAGACCCCATAAAGTATATGGGTGATTCCATATCAGATTTACAGTCGATATTGGGAAATTCGATGAGATATTTTTTTTTCATGCTCTTTATCGAAAATAAATCGACACGTATTTTTTTATATGGCTCAGAAAATTTTTTTGACAAAGTTATGATTTTTGATGAACTCCCTTTTTATTGATGATAGTCGCGTTTTCCAGCCCCAATAACTCGATAACCGTACGTCGCAGAAAAAAATCTATAGGAAGTAAAAATTTCATCCTTCCTTCTTCTTTGCAAAACTTTCGTGAAATAATTTTTTTAAACAATTTTTCACCACAAAAAGTTCAAATGTTTATAACAAATTAATTTTTCTCCAACTTGGACAATTTTGATTTTTTTTTTTTTATCACAATAAATCCTTCAAATTCTTCCGATGAACATACTAAAATTTCAGAATGGTATCAAAATTAGTTTTTGAGTTATAGAATATTCAAGATCATCATGCACGGTCCGCGCGCTCGGTCCCAGGGCGTGCGCCGACCAACGACTCTAACGAGCGTCAATTCGCTTCGCGCGCGCATAGTAAGGGTCATTGAAATGAATTTTTAATGCTATTTAATTCTATAACTCAAAAACTAATTTTGATACCATTCTGAAATTTTAGTATGTTCATCAGAAGAATTTGAAGGATTTATTGTGATAAAAAAAAATCAAAATTGTCCAAGTTGGAGAAAAATTAATTTGTTATAAACATTTGAACTATTTGTGGTGAAAAATTGTTTAAAAAAAATATTTAACGAAAGTTTTGCAAAGAAGAAGGAAGGATGAAATTTTTACTTCCTATAGATTTTTTTTTCTGCGACGTACGGTTATCGAGTTATTGGGGCTGGAAAACGCGACTATCATCAATAAAAAGGCAGTTCATCAGAAATTCAAAAAATCATAACTTTGTCAAAAAAATTTTCTGAGCCATAGAAAAAAATACGTGTCGATTTATTTTCGATAAAGAGCATGAAAAAAAAATATCTCATCGAATTTCCCAATATCGACTGTAAATCTGATATGGAATCACCCATATATTAGGGGAATGTTGTCAGGGTTGGGCCATATTTTGACCTATGTCCATAAGTTCTGAACGAATGACAAAAACAAAAACAAAAAAAGTTATAGGCGTTTGAAAAAAAAAAAAATGTAGTTAGCGTTGGGCCATGTAGTCAGGGTTGGGCCACCTTCAGAAAATCGTTGACAATATCGTAACCTGGTGGAATAAAATTGAATTCAGGTAAATCTGATATTATTTTGTTCATTAATTTAATTATTTGGGATTTTACAGTAAATATCAAATTATTCAGAGTTGTTTTTCGTTTGTAGCGAGAAACACTAAGGAAAAAGATAAAAATGATTCATCTTCTTTCAATCCATCAAAATATTTTTTTAATGAAATCTATTTAATTTATTTTGCATATTTTTGCTACCAAAAACTTAAATATTACAACAAAAATCGAAAATACACGAATAAAATGTAAAAATTATGATGGCCCAAGCCTGACTACAAGAGTGGCCCAACCCTGACGACATGCGGTATTAGTCTATTATGGTATGTATGATATAGCCAAACTATATCTAACAATGAAACTATATCTTAGTATTTTGTAATATAACAACTATATAACGTATTTTTATGCTCACTTTGCGGATGACATGTTGTAATCTTGTGTTATTCCACCTTTTCGGCCAGGTTAAAAAAACTTTTTCGAGCACTTTTTTTTCACAGAACAACGGCACGTAGAAAAATGAAATCCCGAAATAAGTTGTCACGTGGAAAGTTTCGAGTGACCGATAGAAGTTTCTAGATACCCACCAACAGATGGTACTAGAACGAATATTCAAAATATTGAGATGGCCCAAGCCTGACAACGGCCCAACCCTGACAACATTCCCCTATATATTCTTGATCAGCATCACGAGCAGAGTCGGAATACGTCTGTACGTCTGTCCGTTTCCGCGCAAACTAGTCTCTCAGTTTTAAAGCTATCTTGCTGAAACTTTCCCAAAAGGTGTGTAGTTATTGCACGCAGTATATAAGTCGGAACGGGCCGGATCGGCCGACTATATCGGATAGCTCCCATACGAGAGAATGAAATAAAAAATTCTCACGCCGTTGTTTTTGATCAGATCGACTTGAATTCTTCAAGTGTTATTGAATTTCGGATTAAATTTGATCAAAATCGGATAACTCTATCATAAAGCTGCCATAGGAGAGATCGAAAAATATATATATAATTAATGGAAATAAATTGATAACATCGTTGTTTTTTATCCCACGAGCATGATTTTTTGAATATTTACAACCCTTATATTGAGAAAAAGTTTCATAAGAATCGGACAACTATATCTTATAGGTGCCATAGGAAAGATCGAAAAATCTATATAGAAGTAACGGAAATAAAATTATAACATCGTTGGTTTTTATTAGATAAGCATGATTTTTGGAATATAAAGTTTTCTCACGACTCTTGAATTACTAATTAAATTTTATCAAAATCGGACAACTATATCATATAGCTCCCATATGATCTATAGTCGAAAATATGGAAAATGAATAGGAAAATCGTCTTAGCTTCGATTTTGTTTAGCCTTTATGTATTTTTTTTGACATATTTGATGACTGCAAGGGTTCCTTTCTTGTTATTAACTTGCCCTCCCTTACAAATCGTAGAACGATGCTTGATACTTTGTTTATTGACAGTGCTTACTTGTTAAGTAGACTAAATTTCTCGGTTCCAAGTAGATTTACTAGAAATTATGCTCCTTTAGTTTTAAATCTTTGTAGATCTAATTATGACGTGCATGAGCCTTTCAGGGTACTTTGTTCGGACTATAATAGACTGTTTTCTATAGTATCTACATACTTCTAACTCTCTGCAGCTCCTAAAGCATTAACGAGTTTTATATAAATTCTCTTTATGAATAAATACACATGGAATGAAGGGAGAATGTAACAGTTTTTGTTTGTTTTAATCGTTTTTATTTTTCCGATTTTTTCATTTAGTCTTTGATAATTTCGGTTTGCATATTTTTAGAAAAAATAGTAATAAAATCGATACATTTCCTTCAACACTTTCATTATTTTGATTTCTTATGCGGCCTAGACTATTAATATTTGTATTAAATAAAAAATAATTTTAATATTATACAATATAATAGATTTCCTTAAGCAGTTATATAAAAAAGAATTTTTAAGGAAAATAAATATATTGTTTTGAAAATATAAGTGCTGTTTTGTAGTTCGGTCCGTTAAAGGCCGCACACGTGACTTCATCACTGTTTGTGCGCCAATTTTCTCATAAAATCTAATTTTTATTTTACGTCGATTAATACGATTATTTTCCGTTTAATAGCTATTGACAGCCTCTTCATTGATTTCAGCCCTTTCTTGTTCTTCCGTTTTGGCTTTGCGTCTATTAATCCATGGCATAAAACTCCAAAGGCTAGCCCCGGCCAACAACGTCAGACCAAGGGCGTGAAAGAGGGGATTATAATCATTGACAGCCTCAAACCAAAAGTTGCAAAGTGGCGGTCCAACCAACTGCAACAAACCATTTACGAAAAGGCTTATACCATAGGATGATGTCAGACGTTCTGTACCAAGCATGTCTGCCATAATCACAGCAGTAATTCCCACGTAAATTCCTGAAGCGAGCCCAAAAAGTGCACACCAGAAACAAACAGAACTGTAGGACCATGCAAAAGGTAGTAACGCAAGGGAAAGACCTGATATGGACAAGCCTCCGACAAAGTACCAAGTCTTGGGAATATATCCCATATCCGATAAAGCTGATCCCCCTATTCGTCCAATAAGGTCTGTGGCAGAGACAACTGAAAGCAGATATGCAGATAATGATTTGGTAAAACCCCTGGCTTCTCCAAAACTGGGCAGTAAAATGATGAAATTCGTGTAACTAATAGCATTCGTCGAGTTTGAGATAAGTATGACCAAATATATTGGGTCTTTAAACAAGCTTAGATCGAAAAACTTCGATCGTTGAGCGGGTGGGACCTTGCCCCGAATTTCGGCAGCTTGCCTTCCTTCTAACCCGGACAAGTCGCCAGCAGTGGCCGCCCCATTACTGCCTACTGACCGAAGCGATAAATGCGAAGAAAATTCCTTTGGCTGGAAAGATAATGTGCTGCCGTGATATGGGGTGCTGACATATAGAAAACTGCTGGTCGAGGGCGAGCGCTTGGAAAGTCTCGATTTGGATGAATTCCTCAGAGTGAGTTTGTTTGAGCTAGAGCGGCCCTCGGGAACCGCGTACAAGGAAGACTGTGAATTTAATTGGCCAGGCGTAAATGTCTGATTCCTTTGAGGAAGCCTCACCGGGGTACTAATCTTACGAGATCGAGGTTGAAACTCGTCTCCAGGCTTGGAGTAGCTTTGTACAACTGCTGCCGATGCGCTCCGCACAAATTGCAGCTTTTCATCGTCCGGAAGATATAGCGGAGAAGGAGGAGAGTTGTAAGGCAATAACTGCTTGCAAGTCTGCTCGTTGTTAGGAACAGACTCCTCGACATTTTCAAACTTCATCACAATGCCAATATCTTCTTCCTCAGGAATGTCATTTAAAGCTTGACGTGCACGGGGTAGTCGTATCATGTGCTGTTCAACTGGCTCATAAAAAAGAGCAGCTACAAATACGTTCAAAGTAATGCCTCCCATGATTAGGCAGGACCCGTGATAGCCGTATGTCTCTAGTAACCATCGTAGAAGGGGCGGAAGAATTATGCTGCCCAACGCGCTGCCCGAGATACACAGGCCGTTAGCCAATCCGCGTAGCTTTGCAAAATACGATGTCACAATGTAAACTGTCGGCGGAAAAGAGAGACCAGCCCCAATTCCCACTAAAACGCCATAGCTAGAAAACAACATTATTAATCACTTTGGACTTATTATCTGTGCGGACATACTTACCTAATATACAAGTACTCAATAGATGATGCCCAGAAGGAAAGAATCATTCCAAGCGATGCAGACGCTCCACCAAGAAGAGTGACTGTACGATAGGAGTATTTGACAGACAGTATGCTCGAAACGGGTCCTGCAAACGCACATTTAGAAGTTAGTTTTAGTTCGCAAAAGTCAAGGGCTGCTTACACTTACCCAATGAACTATAAAGAAAATAGCACAGAGCGGGTATCCAAGCAGCCTTTGTGGGTGAAGAATTAAAGGCTTCAGTGAATTCCGAAAATAATACTCCAAAACTTTTGATAGTGCCAGGAATAAGGATGTTGGTTAAGCACGATCCCAATAGCACGAGCCAACCCCATCCGCCATCAGGCGGCACAAGGTCATATTCTTCTCTATCATCTCTTTTATTGATTAAACTCACTGTGTAAAAATAAGAAAGAGATTTTATTACTAAGAATTTATACAATTTAAAAAATTGCTACAGGAAACTTTATGCATTTCTAGGTAAGTGTTATATATATAGTCTTATAACAAATTGTGTATTTCTTGTCTAGGTAGAAGTCATGTTCTGAAAGACTGCAAACGCAAAAAGACTTGTAAAGCAGCAAACTGTAATTTTAATCACAATTTTTTATTGCATAAAGAGAAGATCAACAAAACCAACACTTCTCTAAAAATACCTAAAAATCCTGACCAAGACAAATCAAAACCTGACCAAGACAACCCAAACCCTGACACGAACTACAACATTAATTTTGGTGGTAACAAAGTACTACTAAAAGTCATACCAGTTACACTTATAGGTCCACAAAAATCAATCGACACTTATGCCTTACTTGACGAAGCTTCGACTATTTCATTGATAGATGAACAACTTGCAGCTGACCTGCAATTAGAGGGACCGATTAGCCCTTTAAAGATGCAGTGGACTAATAATAAGATATATGAACAAGCAAACTCAAAGGTAGTTAGTGTGGGGATCAGAGGGAAGGAACAGATATTCAAGGTATTTACATTACGGAAAGTAAAAACGGTAGCATGCCTCAATTTACCACTGCAGACCCTTTCAACAGGCGATATGTCTCAGACATACAAGTTCTTGAAAGATTTTTCCTTTTGCTCATATTATAATGCACATCCAAAAATCTTGATCGGTCAAGACAATTGGTCGATCATTGTATCTCGCAAATTAAAATATCAATCATTTCAAGGTTGCTAGTAAAACTTTGCTAGGCTGGGTTGTTCACGGTACAGTAGGAATAATAAGGGAAATTGCGAACACAAATTATTCATTTCACGTACACGAATGCAAGGGGTGCGACAATCCAAATGATGACCTAGACATTTTACATAATTTGGTTAAATCATATTGGTCTATTGAGAATGAATTGTTGACACCTCACGACACTCCAACATCCCTTGACGACAAAAGATGTTTGGAACTTGTTAACAAGACTTTCAAGCGTGTAGGTGACGGATTTCAATGTGGTCTATTTTGGAAAAGTGATGACGTTAAATTACCTGAAAGTTATAAAAATGCATATTCCACATTATTGTCATGTGAAAGAAAAATAGACAAAACCCCTGAATATGGCAAGAAATAAAACGAAACGTTATATTCATATATACAAAAAGGATATTTAAAAAAAAATTAATTTAGAAGAAAAAAATATTATCACTCCTTTGACCTACTATTTACCACACTTTGGTGTTCTAAATAGCAATAAGCCAGGTAAACTAAGAATAGGTTTTGACGCAGCCTCAAAAAGCCATGGTTATTGTCTTAATGATTTTCTTTTGCCAGGTCCAGACCTATACAGTCAATTGTCTTCAGTTCTGATGAACTTTCGTGAACATAAAATTGCCTTTGTCGGAGACATTAAAGAAATGTTTCTCCAAATTAAAGTACAGGAGACAGATCGTGTGCACAGAGAATTTTATGGCGAGGAAGTAACCGGTATTCCGAACCAGACGTGTACGAAATACAGGTACTATTTTTTGGCGCTAAATGTAGCCCAAGCATTGCCCAACAGGTCAAAAACAGAAATGCCTTTGAATTTAAAAATGACTATGGCCAAGCTTGTGATGATATAATGGTGAAGCATTACATGGACGACTATTTGGGTGGAGCCAACGATATTGGTTCAGCTGTAAAATTGATTAAGGACGTAATTTATGTGCACAAGGCAGGTGGTTTCGACATGCGATATCGGATTTCAAATTCTCCAGAAGTTTTAAATCAGATCGCAGACAACATTCCATCAAATCAAATTAATAAAAAGAACTTAACAGAAGAGAGTTTTAGGACTGGTTTGGGATCATAAAAAAGACGTATTTACATATAATTTGAAATTCTCTAAGTCTCAGTTTGAACTTCTTAATAATGTTAGGCGACCAACTAAGCGAGACATTTTAAAAATAACTATGACCATTTTCGATCCTTTAGGCTATCTTTCCAACATATTAATATCTAACAAAATTCTGTTACAAGCAATTTGGGATAGCGGAATTCATTGGGATGACTTTATTACAGATGAGCAGTTTAATACATATTTGGAAAATTTTAAGTAATAATTTAAACAAAATAAACGATATTTACATTCCCAGGCAGATGACTACATTGCCCATATACCGTTGTAATATCCAACTTCATATATTTTGTGACGCTTCAAAATATGCATATGCCACGTGTGCATATTGACGCTTCGAATATAAAGACCAAGTCGAGTGCACTTTAATATCAGTCAAGTCCGTGTAGCACCACCTAAACCAATGTCTATTCCAAGACTTGAATTGCAAGGATCCCTGCTAGGAGCTAGACTAAATAAATCAATAAAAGAAACACTGAATGTGAAAATAGACGCAACTTTTATGTGGACAGATTCAGAAATTGTTCTATACTGGCTGAAAACTAGCAGCAAAAGATTTAAAACCTTTGTAGCTCAGCGATTAGGAGAAATCCAAGAATTAACAAATTCTAGTGAGTGGCGACACGTACCCTCAAAAGTAAACCCTGCTGATAAAGCAACAAAGATTTCATCCTTTGACTTTTCAGCAAATGAATTATCGTTGGTAGGACCGCCATTTCTAAGAAAGACTCAGGACCAGTGGCCATTACCCAAAAAGACTCTCGGTTTAGATGACTCTGATGACAAGGACAAAGAATACGTAAATCTGACTTCTGTACAAAAACACTTATTCATTTTACCTGACGTAATTAGGTTCTCCTATTGGATGCGATTTTTAAGAACGACAGCATGGATTTTGAGATATTTAACCAAACTTAGACCAAGTAATAAAATCACATTTTGTAATGAGTTGACAGCCGCAGAAATTTCCAAAGCAGAAATAATAATTTTCCGAACCATTCAACAAGATGCACACCATCAGGAAATTGAAAATATAAAACGGAATAAACCAGTGTCACCTTCTAGCGGTTTGAATTGTTTACCATTGTTTTTGTGTAGTGATAATTTGTTAAGACTAAGAGGTTGGCTAAATAACTTACGCGACCAAGAGATGAGTGTTGATTCAAAAAACCCTATTATTCTTTGTAAAGATCATCCTTTTACAAAATTACTTATTCATTACTATCACGTACAAAATTGTCATATAGGTACAGAAACTGTAATTGCCAATATCCGTCAAAGGTTTGGAATTACAAAATGTAGAAATACGGTTAAAAATATCATTCGAAATTGCCAGCACTGTAAAAACAGAAAAGCGAAGCCACAAGCTCCTTTTATGGGTCAACTGCCAACTTGTCGTATTGTGCCCACTGAGAGAGCATTTTTGAATGAAGGAATTGACTATTTTGGGCCAATTGAAATAACTCAGAACAGAAGCCACATGCATGACAACACGAGCAGTCCATCTTGAGATTGCAGAGGATCTTTCTTGTAATGCATTCATGCATGTATTCAGGTAATTTGGTTGTAGAAGGGGATTTCCGACAGAACTATAACGGAACCAACTTTAGGCGGGCAGACAAAGATATTAGAAAAATTATGGAAGAATGGTCAAATGACAAACTTACTCAGTTTTTAACAACAAAAGGTTGTAACTGGTATTTTAATCCACCCTTATCCCCTTACATGGGAGGAGCTTGGGAAAGACTTATACAGTCAGTTAAAAAATATTTCTTAGTTTTACTAAAAGAAAGATATCCTACAGAGTATACTTTAAAAACTTTATTTTGTGAAATCGAATTTATGATGAATAGTAGACCACTTTTGTTTATTCCTTCTGACTCTCTATCTGAACCATTGACGCCAAACGATTTGTTAATTGGACCCAACTATCGAGAATCTTTTTATACAGATACCATTGACAGTGATTTAAGATTATTAAATATTTGGAAGGCATCACAAAGACTTGCTGATATATTTTGGTTAAAATGGAAAAAGGAATATAGACAATTCTTAATTTGTAGTCGTAAGTGGACAAAAGACAATAGTGCCTTAAAAGAAAATGACATATTATTAATTATGGAACCTGACTTACCCAGAAATGTTTGGCCAAAAGGACAATCTTTGTCAAAACCTATCCATCAAATGATGGTCGAGTACGTATAGTTGAGGTAAGAATTAAAGATAATATTTATAAGAGACCTACTGTAAAACTAATTAGACTAGATGTAAAACCGAAAGAATTGTAAACTCTAAGTATTGCCGTCGTTTATATGATCCACGACACCAATACTTGGGAGGAGGATGTTGACGCTAGTATTAATTTTAAATATAACGAATTTTTTAGAGTAAGATATCAAAAGTGTCACCCCCCTTAAATTTTATTTTTAAAACTTATCGATATAAGGTTGCTACTCTTATTGACTATATTATATTTATACCTATTCGAGAAGTCACATGAAGAGCATCGACAAGAATAGACGCCAAAAGTTTTCTCTTTAATTTTTGTTTAATAAATTAATTTCAATCGCTAGTGAGCAAAATTACTAGACGAGTGGAGTGATACATATTGCGGTGGCTTATTGACAAAAAATCAAAAAATAGATAAAAGCTAAATACCATTGAAGCTTTGACAATTTTTTTTGTCCTAGAGCCCTTCTTATACGAGATGTGTTCAAAAAGTATCGCGAATTTTGAATTTTCGCGGGTTACCTCGTATCGAATTTCGATTTTTTTGTGGCGTTATATTGGTACTCATGTCTCTCACTTGTCCCGACAAGCTCGGCCATTTGAATGTTCACTTAATTGTTGACAGCTGCTTCGCTTGCACGTGTTTTGGATCGTCTTCGATTTTTACCTATTCAAAAAAATGGATCAAAGAACCTGTATCAAAATTTGTGTGAAAAACGAAATTAGTTGCGTGGATGCATTCCGAATGTTGACTGTGGCATACGGAGAAGCTACCTTGGATCGAAGCAACGCTTATCGGTGGTACAAAATGTTCTCAGAAGG